ACATGATGTATTAACTTCCCCTTAGTTTATTGTTTAGCTCTAGAGCTGCTTAGATTCATTTACATATAATATTGCTTATCTAATTTTAAATAAGTGGTTCTATGCACATTTAGTAACTTATGCCTCTTAAACATTGGCCATGAAAGAGAATTCTTGAATAGTTTCATGAAGCAGTCTTTGTCTCTTACTCAGAGCAGAATATTTTGAAGACATCTTTTCTCTGAAGTTTTTAGACAGGCTATAAACTAGTTTGTATTAGTCGGAGTTCTCCAAACAGACAGAACCAATGGGATAGCTAGCTAGCTAGATAGATAGAGGAGAGGGGATTTATTAGAGGAATTTGTTCATGTGGTTATGGAGGATGACAAGGGCCAAGATTGAGGGACTGACAGTTGGCAAGGGCTTTCTTGCTGTGTCATCCCATGGCAAAGGAGAGAGAGGCCAAACTTGCCCTTTTGTAAAGAATCCACTCCCATGAAAATGACGTTAATCTATTCATGACAGTGGAACCTAATCACCTTTTAAAGATCTCACCTCTTAATACTGTTACAGTGGCAATTCCATTTCAACATGAGTTTTGGAGGGGACAGACATTCAAACCATAACACAGCTCCATGACAGAATTTTCGCATGCACCAGAATGTAAATGACAGCTACTCATTTTAAGGGGAAACAGCTTAGGTTAGTGTAAAAAACATGAGTATTGGAGTCTGGAGCTTGGACGCTAGCTGTGTGACTTTGGACATGCCACATGTCATCTTTGAGCTTCTGCTTTTTCAAATACAAGGCTGTTGTAGGCCAGAATATGACCAGGTTGTAAAGGGTTTGCCACATACCGACTGCTGACATCAAAACATATTAGTTCCATTTCCTCGACCTTATTCCCTTTCTCCTTTGATAATGCTTCATTCAAGTGCAGATCGAAGACCTCAGGAGGAAATGAAATGTTAAGAAGATTTGACTGTAACAAAAGGGTTAGTGTTAACACATCCATTGTGTACTTATACAATAGAAGTACAATAGTAATCTTAGAAGCTGTGCAAAATCACTGCTGCTTCCTCTCTCTGGGCCTCTGAATTAATGATGCAATATATACAATACATATAATAAATATATGTTATAACATATAATATATAATATATTTATTATAATTAATTCTTCTATTATATGTTATATTACATATAATAATAATGATTATATATTATAATATATAATATATTATATAATAATAATTATATAATAATATAATATATAATATATATATTATATGTATATAATATATAATATATAATCATTATTATTATATAATATATATTATTATTATTATTATTTTGAAGACATATTTTCTCTGAAGTTTTTAGACAAGCTATAAACTAGTTTGTATTAGTCAGAGTTCTCCAGAGAGATAGAACCAATGGGATAGCTAGCTAGTTAGATGAAGGAGAGGGGATTTGTTAGAGGTTATAGAGGATGACAAGGCCAAGGTTGAGGGACTGACTTCAGCCGTCCTTTGTTTCAGCTTCATAATTAATATTAACTATAATAATTATATTATTAATCTAATTATTATAATATAATTATATATAGGAATTAATATAATAATTATATAACATATTTAATTATATATGATAAATATATATTATATTAGTATATGTACATATTAGTGTATATATTAGTATGTGTATTTGTATATATATTATATATATATTTGTACTAATATACATACACAAATACATATAAGTATAGGACCTAGTGGCTTCCTCTAAGGCTTCATGTTTCTCTAATGGTCATAAAATGGACTAAATGGGGCTTGAGTTGGATGATGAGATTCCATAGATAGAAAGGAAAGGGAGCATTCCAGCTAGAAGGAATCACCGGTGTGAGCAGAGGTACAAGTATGATTTTGGTCAGGAGCCAATAACTAAAGCAGTCTTTCCAGAGAACCTTTCTTGAGGAAGGTGCCTTGTAGTGCCCACAAATGCAGGAAGCAAGGATTAGGACAAGGTCACTGATGGTCAGTTCAAGGAGTTTGGAATGTGTCCTGTAGCTATTGGGAAGCCACTGAAGGCTTATTAAGTAAGTAAAACACAGCAGAGGTACTGTTTTGGGAACAAAAAGCTGGTGGCTATGAGGGTGGACTTGGTTATAGCAAAATTAGTCAGGAAACTATTTTAACAGTCTGGGGCCAGATCATAGAGGGCCTCATAGGCCCCATTTGTTCCTTCATCTACAGTTGCTTCAGCTTTTACATCTTTTTAGACCAGTCCTGTTATGTTTTACAGAGGTCTTCCATTTCAGTCTTAGATGCTGTCTTCTATTTGCCAGTGGGAATTCTATAATCCCATTTGATTTCCATAGCATCTAATGAAATTCGTTTTTTTCTCCCTCCCCTCCATGAAAGCAAATTTTCCATACACTTTGTGTGCCGAAACCTAGTAAGAATAGGTCAGATTAATCCTAAATATCTGCTTTTTTATTCATTGCAATCATAAACCCTTTCATTAATATCAAGACAGCTAAAGAACTCCACCTCATCAAAGAAATCTGGCATCTGAAGCCCTTTATGATTTGCCTCAACAAATCTTTTCCAGTTTTATTTTTACTGCCCACTTCAGCCATCCTTTGTTTCAGCTTCATCTCTCATCTAATTCCACACGTACCCAGCAATTTCGTGCCTCCGCCTTTGTCCCTTCCACCTGCTTGCCTTCTCCTCCACACCCTAAAAATTCTACCCATTCTTCAAGGTCCCATTCAAATGCTACTGCTTTTGAGAGTGTTGCATGCTGGTCTTACTTTCTGTACTGTAAGCATTTATGCTATAAAATGAGGACCTATTCTATTCCAGTTACTGTCAAGGCATTCCCAAATGATTAAAACACAGGAAAACAGATGGCACTGTAGTGAAATATCCTAAGTGCTGTAATCAGAGTAGGCATTGGAGGAAGGCTCTGAGAGTTTCCACCATCAATACAGAGCCAGCAGGAGGGATCAGGGAAAGCTTCCTGGAAGACAAGGTGTCAGAGGCGTTTGAACCAGAATGACTCCATCTTGAATAGGGGCGGGGTAAAATAAGGCTGAGACCTACTGGGCTGCATTCTGAGGAGGTTAAGGCATTCTTATTCACAGGATGAGATAGGAGGTCGGCACAAGATACATGTCACAAAGACCTTGCTGATAAAACAGCATGTGGTAAAGAAGCCAGCCAGAACTCACCAAAACCAAGATGGCGATGAAAGTGACCTCTGGTTGTCCTTACTGCTCATTATGTGCTAATTATAATGCCCACCTACCAAGCACCTGGATTTAAAACTTGGTAACAAGTTAGCCAGGTGTGGTGGCTCACGCCTATAATCCCAGCTACTCCGGAGGCTGAGGTGGTTGCAGCGAGCCAAGATCGCACCACTGTACTCCAGCCTGGGTGATAGAGTGAGACTCCATCTCAAAACAACAATATAAAAATTGTTAACATTTTTTCCATAAAATAAATTACTGGTAACATTATATATGTATTTGCTTCAGGTCCTCCCCTGACAAAACATATATTTATTTATATTACCACAGTTCCGTGACTGCACCCAGTAGAATCAACAGCAGTGACCTAATGTCATCTAACAGCCTACTCATGCTCAGATTCCCTCAGTCCTTCCAAAACTATGAGTGACTATTTATTGATTGATTATTAGTGAAGCATTATCAGAAGATCTGAGATCTGAGAACTTGGTACTGTTGCTTAGTTGATATGAGTCATAGTATGGATTGGTGGAAGAACAAAACTTAAGACAACAAAATAGATAGTAATTATTTATTTGAAAACACTTTCCTCTCCAAGCTACACTAACCCAAAGAAACTGAGGGATCACCTAAGATCAACTTGAGCGCTCAACCTGGTTGCCCAAGGGTTATGGCACTACCGGAAACTCTCAGGCTCTAGAGAGAAACAAGGCCATTGGGAGAGAACTCCAGACACTTGTGGATGGATAGCCAGTTGTTTATTCCAACGTCATTTTTTGAGTAGTCCATCCTTTCCTTAGTGTTTTGAAATTCTACCAGAGAACTATAAAAATACTAAAAATGAATAAGTGAACACATTTGTATTATCTTATTGGGGGGAAGACTCTTCAAAGCAAGGCAGAGACAGTTGACTACATAAATACTAGAAGCAACTTTATGGCAAAAGACAAAAGTAATAAAATTCAAAAGTAAATGACATGCTTGGAGAAAATATTTGCAATATAGAGAGGATTAAAAATAAGATCTCTAAAATGTTAACAGTACCTATAAATCAGTAAGAAAAAAATATAACGTGGAAAAGGGATAAGAACAAGTATTTAAAGAGGAAAGATGATGAAAGAAATCAATTAAAACAAAAATTAGATACCTTGTTATTTACCTTCTAATTGATACAAGTCACAAATGCTGATTATGTTTCATGTTGGTAAGTACAAGAGAGAAAAGAACTCTCATTTGCTTTTAGCATACAAATTGGTACAACCTTTGTAAGGGCAATTTGGCATATATATACACATATATACGTATATATGTGTATATATACACATACACACACACACATATATATATATATTTATTTATTATTATTGTTTTTGAGACGGAGTCTCACTCTGTCACCCAGGCTGGAGTGCAGTGGTACGATCTTGGCTCACTGCAACCTCTGCCCCCGGGTTCAAGTGATTCTCCTGCCTCAGCCTCCCAAGTAGCTGGGATTACAGGCGCCCGTCACCACGCCCAGCTAATTTTTTGTATTTTTAGTAGAGATGGGGTTTCACCACGTTGGACAGGCTGGTCTCAAACTCCTGACCTCGTGATCCCCCTGCCTCAGCCACCCCAAGTGCTGAGATTAGAGGCGTGAGCCACCACACCCGGCCTTGGCATATATTTTTATTACTCCAAATTTCTGTCTTTCTCACTAGCTCATAAGCTACTCATTTAGATTGCCTCTGTTCCTGACCTCATTTCCTATTTTTATGTTTGCTTTTTCCTAGATGGTGTGCTTCTCACCTCAGCCTGGTAGCCTGACCTTGACTCCTGAGTTCTACGATCGCTTCACAACTGCAAGTCATTCTCATACAAAATTTAAGTTTTCCTAAGTCTGCGCCTTTGAGAGCTTTGGAACGATATGCAAGTTCAAGTCACCATCCTCTTTCTTGCTACCTCCTGTGAGAAGACCAACATTTGGGTTACTTGTTTCTACCCTTGTTCTTCTGCTTGATATTGTTGCTTCTGCAGCCATTGATCACACACGTGTTGTCATACAAAAACTGGGTAGCCTTTTTATTTGTCTTGTGAATTTTATCATTTGGTTCTTACGTATTACAAATTAATATTGTGTACTCTCAGTGATATACAACTTTTGGTCGTTGTAAATTTGGATGAGTTAGGGTGAGAATGGCATGCAAGCAAAAGAACAAAAAGAGGGATGATAGAGATGCAAGAAGAGTAAAGAGGGCAAGAAAGGTTATGTTAATAGCGAACACAATGAAAGTTCTTTAAATGCTTGATAATGGTGAAAGCAACACTTCCTAGGTCATATTTTTGGTGTTAATGAACCTACACATCATACAATAAAGAAAAATGAGAAAGCAGTTGGGGCCAGTGAATCGGGGGCACACAAGAATCACTGAGAAAAATCATACATAACTCAAAATGCCACAGTAGAGAAAATATAAAGAGATGCGCACTTGTGGCTTCTGAAACAGAGAAGGTTGAATAGGGTCTCTTTCTGTGTGTAAAATCTGCCAGTGAGCATCACAAAAATGCACATTTAAATTTCAATCTGGATGGACAGTTATAAAATTCATTGCAAGTAATGGGTGGTTGGGTAGGTTTAAGAAATGCCAGGTGGGTGGATCACTTGAGGTCTGGAGTTTGCAACCAGCCTGGCCAACATGGTGAAACTTTGTCTCTACTAAAAATACAAAAATTAGCCAGGCATGGTAGTGGGTGCCTGTAATCACAGCTACTCAGGAGGTTGAGTCAGGAGAATCACTTGAACCCAGGAGGTGGAGGTTGCAGGTGAGCCGAGATCGTGCCATTGCACTCCAGCCTGGGTGACAAGAGTGAAGCTCTGTCTCAAAAAAAGAAAAGAAGAGAGGAGAAGAGAGAAGAGGAGAGGAGAGGAGAAAAAAGAGAAGAGAAGAAGAGAAGAGAAGCAAAGCGAAGCTGTGGCCTGTAATGAAAGGAAGTGGAGAAGTGGCTGGCAGAGGAAGCAGATTAAGAAGCTGCCGGAGAGTATCCTGAATACCTGAAGAAGATGATTGAGGAAAATGGCAATTTGCTTGAGCAGGTTGTCAGTGCTGCTGAAACTCTGGAAGCAAATGCCTACTTGCACATCTATTGCAAAGCATGAGAAAAGGACCAGAGGCTTCAAGCCTGGAAAAGACAAACTCGAAGTTCTGCTTTGTTCCAGTGTGTTCTGATTAAGCAGATTCCAAAATTGTTGCCTTTTTAAAAGAGAAGGCCAGAAACACTTTTCTGTCTACATGAAGGGAAACCATAAAATATGGATCACTGAGAAACTCTTTTTGAACTGGTCTTTGAAGTGTTTTGTTCTGAGCTTAAATAATATTTAAAAGAGTAAAAAATCTTGACTTCACAGTGTTGCTGATTCTGGACACTGCTCCTACAGACAAAAATGCAGTCATAAATGCTGCTCCTTGTGTTCAAGTCATCTCCATTACCCCCAGTACGACTCCACTCCTTCAACTCATGTATCTGAGAGTGCTAAAGTTTCTGATGTACTACGCTCGGCCTGTATTTCGACTACCCGCAGATCTTATCGGAGACACCAGAACTTTACTGTGAAAGTGGCTTGGCAAAATTTCTCCATTTGTAATGCTTTAACAGGTGTAGAAGAATCAGTGAGACAAATAAAACAATCAACACTTAATGAAGTCTGGCAGAAATTTTGGAATGAGGTTGTGACTGATTCAGAAGGTTTCCTTCCAGTAGTAGAAGAAATTGAAAATGTTGTAACATCTGCAAACCATTTGAATAGTGAAGGCCTCGAAGACATTGAGTTAAGTGACATTACTGAATTGTTAGACTCTCACCGTCAAAAGATAGTTTAGAAATATTTTGGAGATGTTATCACATCAAAAGGCAATAAAAGAAGCCAGCATACGTTAATATCCAGAACTCTAAGAATGTTCAAGTATCTACTCCACAAATGAAATTGTCACAGTGATTCAAAAGAAAGAGGTCCTTTGGTGGACTACATACTGACTTTCAGGTAAGGCTTAGATGATTATTTACAGTCCTATAAAGCAGTAGTAATAAACCTCCAAACAAACACCAATAAGTCTTTTCTCTCTGCTTACTTGAAAGGGGAGAAGAGGTTGACATTAGGACATGTCATTCAAACCCGTTCTGCAGACAGAAAAACAGGAAGTAGATATGCCGCACACAGATGGTTAAACCTTGGGATTCAGACTCTGATGGCTCTGATGATGTGGTGATTTGTGTGCTGGGGATAAAAGAGGAGCAGAAGACTGAGCTTACATCTCTTCAGATGAAATGCAATTTTCTCTATTCTTTCCCTGTTACTACTGCTATGACCAAGCATTTTCATTGATGTGTTATCATCTTCATCTTGAGATCACAAAGGAAGTTAATTGCCTGATATCCACTATTGCTAATATAAAATATCATTGATATTTATTTTATTGTTTTATTTTGGTGAACAAACTAATTGGGCTTTTGTAATACTCATATCCCTGCCTCATTTCTTCCTGAAAGGTCTTAAATTCCTACAACATGGATACTCTGAGAGTTTCAGGAACTCAACTATGGCATTTAAGGAGTGTGCTGCTACTGTACTTGGCTGGATGATTTGATTTTGTACTCTTGATCTGAAATTTGTTTTAATTCTGATTAAGTCTAACTTGTGATCTCACCAGAAAGGATTAGTTTGGTATATGTTAAATTAATTTGTTTTGCAGCAGTTGTATATGTTAGCTATTGGCTGATCCTGAAAAGCAGTATATTTATGTCAAATTTCCAGATTTCCTTTGGTAGCTAATCAAGGAGGAACAGTTGCTAGAGTTCATTTTCATAGATTCTTTCTGTTCTCATATCTGGCCTCCCCAGTGATTCGAAGAGTTGAATATCCTCCAAAAAAAAACAAACAAACAAACAAAAAAAACCAGATATTATTACTTCCTGTTCTCTGATGGTGATGGAGACATCATTCTCAGATTGTTTTTAAATTCCCTCCATAATTCCTTATATTTATTTTATTTGATTCAATTGTGTTACAAAAGTTATTGTTATGGTTGCTTTAATTTTGGATGTTTGGAATTTTCCAGGCAGATTTGACAGAGGGGAAAAAAAATCACAAAGCCAGAGATATGACGCTGTTATCTTGTTCTAAGAATTTTGAGCAAAGACATAGGATGAACCTGCCCGTTCTTTTGGCTGCTTGTACACATTCCCAACTGATGTCCATTTTGAACTCAGTTGGACAGTTATTCTGGGGAATAGAGAGGAAGTCCAAATAACAATGCTGTTGTTTCCGTCTTAATTGCTATTTGTGCCGGATTCACAGCACTGACCTCATCATTATATCTGATAATGATGCACAGAAAACCTGAATAGAGAAAAGAAGAAAGATAGTTCATTGGCATGTGCTTGCCAAAAAGAGACTTTATATAACTTGAGAAAACATAAAGACAACCTAGAATGAGGAAATGTATGTACAGTAATGAAAAAAAATGCTTTAAACAGCAGTGTCAAAAACTGACATTGGAGAGTAAATTGAATTTGGTTTTGTAGGAGGCAGGAAACAAGCCCACTCAACATGAAATTTGGCGTAAGGGAGTCCAGTAACTTTCTCCTCAGTCTGTGAACTATACGTGAGTTTGATATTTTGAAGGAAAAGGAACAAAAAAGTTTAAAAGGACTTTTGCACAGCAAATGAAACTAGCATCAGAATGAACAGGCAACCTAAAGAATGGGAGAAAAATTTTGCAATCCACCCATCTGACAAAGGTCTAATATCCAGAATCTGCAAGGAGCTTAAACAAATTTACAAGAAAAAACAACCCCATCAAAAAGTGGGCAAAGGATATGAACAGACACTTCTCAAAAGAAGACACTTATGCAGCCAACAAACATGAGAAAAAGCTCATGATCACTGATCATTAGCGAAACGCAAATCAAAACCACAATGAGAGCCAGACCGGGGTCCGGTGCGGAGAGCCCCTCATCCTGGAAAACGGGCCTTGGCCAGAAAGGCAGCCACCCCCTTGTGCATCATGCAACACACGTTTGTGAAGAACCTGGCGCTAAACCATTCCTAGACAACCGACTTCTGGGTCGGGGTTTCATGAGTAGCAGAGCAACTTCTTCACTGCCATCTATTGAAAGTGAGCCCTCCACACAAGGGTTTGTCTGCCTGCGTGCTTGGGGGGCCGTTGGACCAGTGGTGCCATCTGTCCCTATTCCTTCCTTTCTCCCGCCACCCGCTGGGGTCCTCCTTACCCCAGCCTGCGCGTGCCCACCTACTCTGGGTGTGTCTCACGCTGGCCTGTCCAAACCTGCCGCGCATCAGGCCAGTCAGAATGGCGATTATTAAAAAGTCAGGAAATGAGAGATGCTGGAGAGGATGTGGAGAATAGGAACATTTTTACACTGTTGGTGGGAGTGTGAATTAGTTTAACCATTATGGAAGACAGTGTGGCGATTCCTCAAGGATCTGGAACCAGAAATACCATTTGACCCAGCCATCCCATTACTGGGTATATATCCAAAAGATTATAAATTATTCTATTATAAAGACACACGCACACGTATGTTTGTTGCAGCACTATTTACAATAGCAAAGACTTGGAACCAACCCGAATGCCCATCAATGATAGACTGGATAAAGAAAATGTGGCACATATACACCATGGAATACTATGCAGCCATAAAAAAGAAAAATAATTGAGATCATGCCCTTTGTGGTACATGGATGAAGCTGGAAGCCATCATTCTCAGCAAACTAACAGGAAGAGAGAACCAAACACCACATGTTCTTACTCATAAGTGGGAGTTGAACAATGAGAGCACATGGACACTGGGAGGGGAACATCACACACAGGGGCCTGTCGGTGGTGTGGGGCAAGGGAAGGGAGAGCATTAGGACAAACACCTAATGCATGTGGGACTTAAAACCTAGATGAAGGGTTGATGGGTGCAGCAAACCACCATGGCACATGTATACCTATGTGACAAACCTGCATATTCTGCACATGTATCCCGGAACTTAAAGTAAAATAATGATAATAAAAAAAGGGCTTGCTTGCATGGTTATGGTTGAGATGACAGATATTCTTCAACATGCTCAAATGAGGAAGATGAGGGTTGAAAACCCATTGTAGGATACTGTGGATCTAGCGATCCGCCACAGTTCCAGGAGGGCTTATGCTCTTGATCTAAACCACAGTTGTTCTCAACACTGACTGTGTGTCAGAGTAATGATAGAAAGCTTTGAAAAATATAGATTTCCAGGAACTGCACACAGACCTGCTGAATCAGGGATAGGGCCAGAATCTGTATATTTCAAAAGTTCCTCCAGTGTTTCTTTACATAGCCATGGTTTTCAAACTGCCGCTCGAAAGCTAAGGAAAATTATGATAGAAAACATAAATGGTAGTGGGCCCAGGAACTAGGAAACTGATTTGTTCTGCCACTAGTTCAATGAATGGTCTTATTCAAGTCTCTCCGATCCTTCATTGTCTTTCAAATGAGAGAGTAAGACTACTTGGTGTCTAAAGTCTTTCTATCTCTGACATTACCTTGAGAGAAAGGTGCGTCAACCACAATGGTTGATTTTGAGAATATCTGAACTTTTTCATAGAGGCCAAGGTAAATAGGAGTATTATTGCATTGTGTAATTGTGCTCATGGTTCAAGTTTTACCATGTTTTAGTCCCTCCCAGAAAAGGAAGTAGGGCGTAATGCCGTAGAAACAAGGCAAATACAGACACCAACTCTCTGAAAGGAAAGAGAGGAAATACCTACTGGGAGTTTCTTTTTCTGTGATAATAGCCTTTTTCCCCACTCCGGGTTATAGGGTTTGGGAAAAATAATGCACAGATATTGTGTGTAAAATGCCAATATTTTGTATCTATTGTTTCCACAAACCCAAACAGAGAACTCTGTATGGTGAATGCTTTAAGTTTTCATAGATTGTTTCCTTCTTCTTAATCACATCTACAGGTAAATATTTTTAAATCAGTGATCTTTTCCTTAGTATAATCAGTGGTTCTATATGACTTTAAAGAATGAGCTGTTTTGGTTGGGCGCGGTGGCTCACGCCTGTAATCCCAGCACTTTGGGAGGCCAAGGCAGGCAGATCACGAGGTCAAGAGATCGAGACAATTCTGACCAACATGGTGAAACCCCGTCTCTACTAAAAACATAAAAATTAGCTGGGTGTGGTGGTGCGCACCTGTAATTCCAGCGACTTGGAAGGCTGAGGCAGGAGAATCACTTGAATCTGGGAGGTGGAGGTTGCAGTGAGTCAAGATCGCGCCACTGCGCTCCAGCCTGGCGACAGAGTGAGACTCCATCTAAACAAAAGGAAAAAAAAAAGCTGTTTTGATAATTTTACCATTTCTTGAGATTACTACCTTGGCAATTTTTCCATTTAATTTGACCAAAATTAGAGAAATAAAAGGTTAAATTGAATTGCATCAACTAGGAACTCTTAATATAAATAATAAAATGAGAAATTGACTATTATATGATTTTAGTTGTCATGGGAATACTTTGACTTTGGCTTGATGTATGGAAACATTTATCTAGGGCCCAGGTTATTTGAAATAAAATATTGGGATAAATCAAATTATTGTTTAAGACAATATCCAGTTAAAACAACCTAAGAAGTATCACTGATGAGAGTCAAAGAACATTTTACCGTGGTTAAGTTCAACAAGTCAGCAAAACTTGTAGGAGGATGAGAAAGTTTGGTATAGGCTAAAGGTAGAAATAGAAGTTAATGACAACACTGCTATGTAAATGAGTTTTTTTTTTTCTTGTTTAAGAATAGTCCCCCAAATATAAAAGCTGCAGTTTCTTTTAGTATGTTTTATGCACAGTTTGAGTGGAGAGAATCTGTTGTCAAATGGTTTGGGTAAATTCTTGAGCTCAGTATTACAAAGTGCATGGAAATTCCCTTCTTTACAGACATGTTTAACCATTGTGGCAAAAAGAAAAAAAAAAAAGAGAGAGAGAGGGGTGGGGAGAAAGGGCAGCCCAGGCTGATGAAATGGGACGAATATGTTAGGAAACCTGTATTACATTTAAAAAGAACTTTTTGTTGAAAATCTTTTAAGTTCAAAATGCAGAGAAAGCTCTTTAAATTACACATTTGGATTACATAGCTTCTACCACCTGAATGCTAATAAAGGGTTTTGACAGTATATATAGTCTAAAAGCTTGCGTGAACAATGTTTACGATGTGAAATGCATTGATCACTGAACTTTACATAGTGTTATTACCTTTTAATGGCCTTTGATGTCAGTGTGTTATGGTTGCTAAGAATTCAGAAATATGATGTACTATGAACAGAGCATATATATTACTGGGAACTATACAATCAAATAGAAAATAGATGAAAGAATAAGTATCATTTGCATAAATAACAAATACTGAGAAATTAAGTATGAATCTATTGTGTTTGAGACATTGCACTTCATCTTTCTTGCATTCCTACATAAAGCTAAAGATATAATTCATTCATCTTTGCAAACACCTAGAATTGGTTCTTGACTACTTGGCAGTGGTATGGTGAGTATCACAATGATAAGAAAATGGAACTTAAAGGGAGAGCTCTGCCAGTGACTTCTTGACTTCCTGTCTGCTCTGGACTGGGGGCACCCTCTTTTTGGGTGAGTGGCACTTAGTCCTGGCAGTAACACCCCTGGGTTATTGGGGTTGTGGAGAATCAGCATGGAGCCAAGGTTTTGTAATCACACGGATCTGCTTTCAAATCCTGCCCCTACCAATTACCAGCTGTGTGACTGTGGGCTTATTTCTTAACCATTCCAGACTTCAGTTTCTGATCTGTAAAATGGGGTCAAAAATACCTGCATTGTAGGATTGCTATAAGATTATATGAAATCCTTAGTACAGTGCCTGGCACATAGTAAGCGCTCAATAAATTGTTATTATTATTATATGAATAAGCATTATGCAACCAGAATATGAGAGTTCGTGCCTATCTTTGCAAAATTTTCACATTTTGATACTTAATTTCCCTCAAATTAAGGTATGCATGATGGTTTTAAGATGAGAGAAGGAAGTTTAAAAATGAGTTTTAGTATTTCTTTTTGTTTGCTGATGAGGGATACATGAAACAATAATTTGCTTGCCTGTAAGTTACTCCCTGATTTGCAGTGATTCTTCATGCTATAATATGGTTATCATTGCATAACATTTATTTGTGTAGTGACTAGAGGTAATCTCAGTTTTGGACATGGATATGTTCTTATTCTCTAGAAAATAATCCATCCACTTGTTTCCACTTTAAAGAAAATTAGGTAGCTGTGATATAGGGGTAAAGATAAAGCTAAATAGGACCTGTTTTTGCTTGACCACCAAGGTATTAGCTCAGCTGCCTTTTGAGAGAATTTGTGTAAGTCTATGTAATCTTACTAGGCTAGGAAAATTCCTCACAGCTGGCTTCTGAACTTCTTTGAATTTCATGTATTCTATGATGGCATTCAAGAAGTTTAAAATAGTGTTATTCAGAATGCTAAGTATTCATTATAACTGATGCTGTGTCTGCTGAGTGACAGAAATGTCACTGCCTTAATTCTAGCCCCCACTACCACTTACCTACATAACTGTATTAGCCTCACATCCCAACCCTTTAAGTGTTTTAGCTTGGAGTATTAGGTGTTCTACTATATATATCTAGTAGTCTTTGCTATTCAGCACCTTGCTGCTCAACTGACTTTCCTTATGTACAGTTCTGATTCCAATACCTCCTTGTTCATAGACGTCTAATGACCACCCATTGTCTATATATTCCACTACTTGGTCTTTAAATCATGCATGGCCTAGTTCCAGTGTACTTTCCCAGTTTTGTATGCCAGTGTTCTCTTTCATGTAATATATGTGATAGTTCCTGACTCCTCAGCCTTATCTAAGTACTAAGGGCCTTCAGCCCACAGCTCAAGTCTGATCCCTTAAGCTTGTCACTTAAGCTCTTTGTCACTTAAGAAAGTACATATATTACCTGAAGCCGGGGTGGCTGGGAAGAGTCTACCAAGCTATAATCTTTTTCCTGTTCCCCTCCATAGATGTCCAGTCTGTAGGGGTAGGTTTCTTCTCTAATTTACTTAAGCTTCCAGCTTATTTCATTAAATCAGGACATACTCATCGATCCTCAGCCCTGTTGGTTGGGCCCCTGAATGCAACCCATTTAATTTTGGCTCTGAATACAAGGCTCCCTGTTTGGGCAATCGTCCAAACAATTACCTAGAGATCTAAATTCTTAGGTTCTTGCCAGTTTCATCTCCTATCATTACAGCACATGATATTGTTATTTACCATTCGGCTTCAATTTTCTCTGCTTGTTCTCCATGTGAGAACAAGTTCTCTTGTTCTCTGCTTGTTCTCATATGTGAATGCTAGGCTGGAATGTACTTAACTTTACCATATCCTTGATTTGGCGTTAGAGCAGGGCATAGCAAACTAAGGCCCTTGGGCCAAATGCAAACCAACCATTTTTTTTTAAGTAAAGTTTTATTGCAGCACGGCCATCCCCATTCATTTACTTACTGTCCGTGACTGCACTACAATGGGAGAGTTGAGTAGTTGCAACAGAGACAATGTAACCTGTAAAGCCTTAAATATTTACTTCTGAACCTTTACAGAAAATGTTTGTTGATCCCTGATCTAAAGCCAAGCAGTTCTCTCAACCTAGATACTGCTTATTCTTTGATAATTTCCCATTCCCATCTTGTTAACTAATAAGGCCAGTTCATCGAGACTATGAAAATAGCTTCCAACCCATTCAAACTATTTGCTTTTTCTTGAATTTCCCTGCCTTCTCTTTCTCACCTTCCTAGAATACTATTTCCTTGTGTTTTGCTTTTTAGCAGAAGAGATGCAATAGTATTAAAGACTACAAGAGTAGTCTCATGATGTCTTTTAATTTAATATCTAGGCCCTAATACACAACTCTTTGAATATTGCTACTATCTTTCAGCATGACTTTCCAATACTATTAAGATTAGGCCTTTCTGTTCTTCAGTTTCTCTAACTCAAGTCTTCTAAGCTCCAAAGCTTCCAACATCTTTAATTGCCAGATCTTCCCAATATTATAACATCCATGCATTCCAGTCCCTGTCCTGCAGCATCTCCAATGCCCTTGTTTTCTAAACTTCCCAGTATTCAAGTTATTAAAAATTTAGGTCTTACTAATATCTCCAACAACCCATCTTCAAAGTCCAGGTCTTGTCTTTCAGGATCCAGAGTTCTAAATTACAAGTCTTCCATGGTCCTAATCCTCCAATATCTCCTATATACAGGTGTTCTAGAGGCTATGTATCTCATAGTGTTAAGTCTAGATTCTTCAATGTCTTCCAGCACTTACATCACACAGTTTTTACATTTTTAAATGTCTCCTACATTCTAGTTTTACAGTGTATTTTTATTGCCAATTCCTCCAATGCCCAAGTCTTTTAATACCTGCAAGAACTAGGTCTTACAATTTTCAGGTACATCAATATTCTCAATGTCTGAATGAATAGACCTCTCAATATCCTGGTCTCATATTGTCCAGACTGCCAGTATTCTTGACGTCCAGCATCTTTAAAATTTAATTCTTCCAAACTGTCTTTTGACATAAATATGTCAGTATCCATGCTTACCAATGTCTCCCAAAATCCAGGGCTTCTCATTTTAGGATTTATAAATGTCTATATCTTGCTGTTGTTCATATCTGCCAGTATTTAGGAGTTCCAAGGTACAGGACTTACAATATCTCTAATTTCCAGAGATTTCACTGTCTATGACTTCCAATATTCAATATCCCAATGTTCAGGGCCTCCAGAATCATCAATGTCCAGTGTAACCAATGTCTTCAGAATCCAAGGCTTGCAATGTCTCCAATATCCTGTGCTTACAATGTTTCCAATGTCCAGGGTTTCCAATGGCGCCAGTGTCAAGGTCTTCCAACAACTCCGGGTCTTCCAGCGACTTCAAGTCTTCCAACAGTCTCAAGGTCTTCCAGATAATCCTGAGCTTCCAGAAAATCAACATCTTCCAGACAATCCATGTCTTCCGGACAATCCACGTCTTCCAAGAAGCTCCAAGTCTTCCAGTAAATCCAGTCTTCCAGCAATTATAGGTCTTCCACCAAATACAGATCTTCCAGGAAAATCCACGTCTTCCAGAAAATACGTGTCTTCCAATAATTTCAAGGTCTTCCATCAAATACAGATCTTCCAGCTAATCCATGTCTTCCAGAAAAATCTACGTCTTCCACCAAATCCAAGTCTTCCAGTAAATCTAGTTCTTCCAGAAAAATCTAGATCTTCCAGTCAATCAGTGTCTTCCAGAAAGAAATCCAGGTCTTCCAGTCAGTCAGCGTCTTCCAGAAAAATCTATGTCTTCCACCAAATCCAGGTCTTCCAGTCAATCCACGTCTTCCGGAAAAAATCCAGGTCTTCCAGCCAATATATGTCTTCCTGAAGATCCACGTCTTCCTGAACATCCATGTCTTCCAGAAAATCCATGTCTTCCAGTAACCTCCCAGTCTTCCAGTAACCTCCCAGTCTTCCAGAAAATCCGCGTCTTCCCAACAATCCAGGTCTTCCGGATAATTCGGGTCTTCCTGAAAATCTACATCTTCCAAAAAAGCCATGTCTTCCAGAAAATCCACGTCTTCCAATGGCCTCCAGGTCTTCCAGACTATCCATGTCTTCCAGAAAATCCTTGTCTTCCCTCAAATCCATAGCTTCCAAAAAATCCACGTCTTCCGGGAAATCTGTGTCTTCCAGCAAATCCACGTCTTCCAACAAAGCCATGTCTTCCAGACTATCCACGTCTTCCAGAAAATCCTTGTCTTCCCTCAAATCCATAGCTTCCGAAAAATCCAGGTCTTCCAGGAAATCTGTGTCTTCCAGCAAATCCACGTCTTCCAACAAAGCCATGTCTTCCATCAAATTAATGTCTTCCAGCCTACCTGTGTCTTCCAACAAAGGTATGTCTTCCAACAAAGGTACGTCTTCCAAGAAAGGTACGTCTTCCAAGAAAGGTACGTCTTCCAACAAAGGTACGTCTTCCAAGAAAGGTACGTCTTCCAACAAAGGTACGTCTTCCAAGAAAGGTACGTCTTCCAACAAAGGTACGTCTTCCAGAAAATCCATGTCTTCCAACCAAGCCATGTCTTCCAGAAAATCCACATCTTCCGGAAACTATATGTCTTCCAACTAAGCTACGTCTTCCAACAAATCCATGTCTTCCTGTATCTGCAGGTCTTCCAGCATCTCCAGGGCTTCCAGCATCTGCTCGTCTTCCAACATCTCCCCGTCTTCCAGCATCTCTGTGTCTTCCAGCATCTTCATGTCTTCCAACAACTACCCAGTCTTCCATCAACTGGCTCAATATCCGTGTCTTCCAACGTCTCCAGTGTGCTGATCTTCTAACATTCAGGTCTTCCAGTGTCTGCAATATCCAGGTATTCTAACATATTCTATAGTCCAGATCTTCCAACCTTTCCCCAGGTCCAGGCCTTTTCAAATCTAGGCTTCCCCTGTCTGAGCCTTCCCATGTTAAAATCACTCTACAGAAAAATCTTCCAACTCAACTATTTCTGCTTCTAGTTGAATTAGCTTCAAAAACATTTAATGGGACATTCCTCCTTATAGACTAGATCTTATGAACCAACTGTACTGCAGTTTGTGTTTTTTACAATTAGGAAATGTGTATTTAATCTCTACAACTTTTAAAAATAATGTCCACAATAAAACTTCTGCAGAATAAACAGTTAGGACTGCTGCAATAAATTTTACTACTTCACTAGTGCTTACAGTTTTTATACAGTTGACTATGTTTAGATCTAAGTGAAATTTTTATTTAATGAGAAAAATTCCTGTTTAAGACTGGTATTTTAGGTAAAGTTAACATGTAGTGTATTATTTGTCCATTTTAAATGATATCAATTTTTAGCGTTGGTCTTATGTGACCAAAGAATAATATAATAATAATAACAACAACACTTAACATAGCATTTGCTACGTCCAGGCACTGTTCTAAGATCCTTACATGCATTAACTCATTTAATCTTCACAACAACCCATTGAAGCTAGGTACCATCATTATCCCTATTTTACAGATGAGGAAACTGGCACACAGAGGTGAAGTAAATTGTCCATAGGACACAACTACTAGATAATGGAGCCGGACCTGGCTAGCCTGTTGTGAGAGTCCATGATTGTAACCACTATGTTGTGATATCTGCTGTTTAAAATCATGATAGAATGATGTGATCCAAAGGTTGACTGCTTCCACATTATGTGTAGAATATTATACAATTCCATATACAAATGGTCTCGCTTGATCCTGTCACTGCCAGAGTCTATTTGTATGCACAGCTTTTATTCCCCAACCAGCTACTACCATTCCCTTGGTCCTGTATATGGAAGTAGGTGCAAACACTTTCTGATACCATAAGGAAGCACTGAGTTCAATTACCCTTTGCTTCAGAATCATATTCATAGCTCCATGCTTTGAGTACTGGTGCTTGGAATTTATCCCTTCTATCTGTTTGAATCCCTTATTACTGACTATTCTCCAGTTTGTACCTTACTATGTGGAGCACTTACCTTTAGTTTGTTTCTAACCTCCAGCATTTACCTGCTTCCTGGGTTCCTGACCACTGCGTTGTATCCAACTAATGGTAGCTACAACTCCTTAAATCGCAGCATGCAGATCTAGAGAACTAACTACTTGGTTCTCTAAGTCTCAGCTCCCACCAGGTACCTTCAGCAATGTTGCTACCCAGGCCTCTGGCTGACGTGAAAACCATGAAAACCACATAATTAAATTTTTACAGTTAGGCAGGGACTCTCTAAAGATTTAAAATCATCTATAATGTAACAAAAAGGAACAATAATAATACCAATTAAAATAGAAATACCTTCTGAATGTCTAATGATTTATACTTTATAGAGTGCTGTCACCTCATTCATTCATTCATTCATTCATTCAACAAATATTTATTGAGCGCTAACTGTATGCCAGGTTTGTTTTGATAAAGCTTAAAATCATCTGTGGGAAACAAACAACGTACAGATAATCGAAAAATTACTTATCCATTGTAAGGCCATGAAGAAAAAGTAACTGAGAGTCTGGAAAATCAAGGAAACCATTCCTAAAGAAGTAATATTTATTGTGACTCTGAAGAATCTGTATTCTCATTTGGTTCTCACAATATAGCCTTGTGACTTAAATAAAAAAGATTTTTATATATCAGTTTTACTAATCTGAGTGCTAACAATAGCCATGGGACCCAGCTGTTTTGACCTCTTTGTTTTTCCTGCTACTCATTTTGCCTTAAAATATATATGAAGCACTATTGGAAAATATATATCAAGGGATATAAAAATATACTTTTTGGTTTAGTATATTCCACTTCAAGGAATCCATCCAAGGAAATTATCTGACATGTGGATAATTCATGCACAAAGATACTCCTCACATAGTTATTTGGTATAGTGAAAAACAGAAAAACCTTAATCTAACATTAAGGGAATGACTAAGTAAATGTGCCATGTACCTATGATGGAATATTCTTCCGTTAAAATACTGTGGCATATTCATTTTATAAGTTAAGTGAAAAATCAGCATACAAGGTTACATAAAGTGTGATGGCAACTATTTAAAAATATATAATCAGTGACAAATTACTAGAAGTAAATGTATTGGGGACTCTAAACTAATTATCACTGGATAGGTTGGATTATGTATGATTTTATTTTCTTCTATATATTCTTTTATTTTTAAGTTCTTACAATGTACAGGTATTTTCTATTCAGGAAAAATATTTAAACAATTGTGCACAAAACTATTATTTATTCATCGTTTTTCTTGTACATGGAATCAAGTTTTACTGTTGGAAACACTTCAAAATATATGTTAGCAAAGTGAAAAAAAATAAATTCTCAAATAATTTCAATATCCAGAGATAATCACTGTAAAGATTTTTGCGTATGCTCTTCTAGACACTTTCACTGGTATATTTTCTTGTACAAAATGTAATCATACTGCATTTTAACCTATTTCTTTCTTACACTTAGCAATAAATTGTGAACAACTTTCTATGTCAGTAACTGTGCAGCTATGTAATAATTTTAATATATAATTTATTTACTCCATCTCCTATGGGTGAGCATTAAGTTCCTTCCAATTTTCTTGTATTATAAAAACTTCTGTGATCAGCACATACTTTATGTAAGGTGTGAAGAACAGAAACTGTGTCATTCTACATGGCGTCCCTGTACATATTTGTGTGCAGATGTGTTTGCATATTACTTAGGATAAATTTCTAAAAGGAGAGCTGCTGAGCCAAACAAGACCATGTGCATCATAATCACAGCAAAAAAATTACAAGCAATCATATGTCTAACGGTTGGGGTGGTTAGAAAATTGTATTGTAACTATCTAATGGAATACTGTGCAGTCATTTAAATTTATACCATGGAAGAATATTTACTGAAATGGGAATATGTTCATAAGGTATCACCAGTGAGAGAAATAGGTCACAAAAATATGTATAATATTCATGTTTTGTAGAAGGAAAACTAAATGCCTTCAGGAAAATAACTAGAAGATATACACTAAAATGTTAGTAGTAAAAGTCCCAAAAATAAAATGGATAAATCATAGTATGTTTCACATAAAATATTATATAGTCATCATATGAATGTTCTACAGCTACACATAATGTGGGTAGATTTTACTTCTAGAATATTAAGATATCATGTCTCAAAAGACTACATATAATAGGATATCCTTTTTGTATTATTCAAAAACAAGTAAAACTAAGCACTATATTATTTAGGGCTACATACACACAGCATACAAATAATTTATTAAAAAGCAAAAAATAATTTAAAAATTGAAGATAATGGTCACTGGGGTTGAGGAAAGAGGGTCAGAATATGGGAGGACTATAAATGAATTCATATTATGGTTAATATTCTAGTACTCGTGTTGGGTAGTGGTTGGTGTCATTATGTATTTGAAATCCCATTATTGATTATTTAATAATTTTATGATTATTATTAACATTAAATAAAAAGGCAAGTTAATGGGTAAAAATAAAAGAGGGCCTTGCATGAATCAATGAGACAGTGTGCACAGTCTAAGGATTATTAATCCCTTTCTGTACATTTGTCTTTCATTATTTTTTAAAGTAATTTAAAAAATACTTATCTGTGGGTAGTAAGACTACATGGGATTTTTATTCTTTTGGTTCTTTGTTCTTGAAATTTTCTATTTTGAACATGCATTATTTTCAAAATTAAAATATATTTAAACTTTATGTTAATGTGTTTTTATTGACATAGGGAAATAGAATATTATATTTATTGAAAAACGAGCTCAAAATTACATAGCGCATGATCCAAAATATGTTGAAAAATACATAATAGGGAGTGAAAAGTGTTGATATGTTAACAATAATTGCTTCTGCGTAGTCAGATTTCAAATCACTTTTTTTATGTTTCCATATATACACATACATATGTATATATGTATATTCCATATATACACATATGTATATATGTATATTCCATATATACACATATGTATATATGTATATTCCATATATACACATATGTATATATGTATATTCCATATATATACCTATATATGTGTATATATATGTGTGTGTGTGTTTTATAGGGTGGGCTTATTTTTTATTATAAAAGTAATACATGTTTATTGTAAAAAGTAAAAAAAAAGCAGTAGTGTATAAAGTAAAAAGTGAAAATATCCTCCTAATCCTATCTCCCAGAGATAGCCATGACTCTTTGTTTTGTTAACTTCCTCGTACTGTTTTTCATTTACTTGAATGTATTCTCATTTGTTTTAGAAAATGAAAAAACATAACAGGGAGTGAAAAGTGTTGATATGTTATTATTATTGACATTAAATGTTATATTATTGTAACATAATAAAATATAATAATATCATATTATAATTATATTATTAACATAAAATTAACATCCTATACATATATTCTACAACTTGCTTTTGTCCTGCTCAGTAGAAAGTCATTTTATAAAACAGCTACAGAAAATTTCAGAGTAGGGAGTACTATATTATTTATTCAGGTCTTTCCACATTAGATCTTTAGGTTAACAGTTTGTTACTATTATAGATAATGCTATATAAAGCATCTTTACAATTTTTTATTCAATTCTTTCCACATGATAGATCTTTTGGTTGTTAACAGTTTGTTGCTAATATAGATAACGCTATATAAAGCATCTTTACAATTTTTCGCACTTTTACAATGATTTTAAAGAGCTGGTACCTGAGAAATATAATTTCTGGATGAACATGTTTGAGCTAAATTGCCCTCCTGGCATGCTGAATGCTGTTATTTTTGACTTTCGTCAATATTTTGGATGGAAAATCTAATCTCATTCCTTTAAATTATTTTTCTCTAATAAT